TTTGGCTCAGCAAAGTGGCAGAATCTGATTTAAGGAATGATTTATGTCAGTGTCATGAATTTCAGGCTGTGTAAAGTAAATACAACATGAATCCAAACACAAGGCAGATAAACAAACCAAACTTTTTGAAGGCCTGGGGTAACGCAAACGGTGGAAATTAGAGATGGAGACACATGAACCCTTTGTATTACCATGCATATCAGGCTAGAAGGGGTGAGGTGAACAAGCTTCAATATCCCACAGTTTAGGAATTGAGTTATGATGTATTGCATTATATAAGTTATAATTTTCTTGCTTACGTTATTAATAAGTAATATGTTCCTGAATGAATTATTAATAACCTGCTGTTACATAAGGGAAGTTGCATTGCTGGAGAAAGCAGGCAACCTGGGAGTCAGAGATAACACAATGTGGAGCTGGAGGAACACAGCAGGCCAGGCAGCATCAGAGGAGCAGGAAAACTGATGTTTCGGGTCAGGACCCTTCTTCAGAAATGGGGGAGGGGAAGGGGGCTCTGCAATAAATAGGTGGGGAGGGGGTGTTGGGTGGGGAAAGGTAGTTGGGTTGGTGATATCAGGTAGGTAGTGGTGGGGGTTGGTCAGTGAGGTGGGAGGAGCAGATTGGTGGGAGAGAGGATGAACAGGTCAATGAGGCGGGGTCTCTAAACCTGGGAGTCAAGCTGGATTGAAGAAATGAATGGTAGAATTTCATTGAAAAAGTCCTGGATTTCACTGTAATTGAAGTTTGGGAGAACAATAGATGGTTTGTTTATGTCAGGCTCATAGACAGATGGTTAGCATTTTATGGACCCACTTGTGCCACCTCCATGATCCCATGAACTGCTTTTCAGAGCAAGGAATGTAATGACCCTCAACGTAGTTACCTGCTCCTCTCCCTGAGCCTGCTGGTGTCTGCCCATTTATGGCATCCTTCATTTAATGCCATTGGAGTCACAGATTGAATTGAAGTCTGAGAGTGGGTAACAGAAGTCAAACTCTAACGTACAATCTACGGGATCCGGTTTTATAAAAAGTAGTATGTTGGATGAAGACTCAGAACCATCCCAGAAGATCCGACGCAGTAAAGTATCCAGGACCAATTCAACATATTGCAGCAAAATGTGGCACTGGGGTTAGTGAAGATCATCTGCATCCATCGCTCTAACAGAATGGCCTCAAGATCCATCTGGATTACGAATATGGGTATTTTGATAACAGGAAAGCTTTGAGGAACCAAAATGCAAAGGAGAGGTAGTGCAGCAACAATATCTTCCAAATATTTCAAGATTTAATGGAAGGCAGTGGTATAGTGGTAATTGTCAGTAATCCAGACCACCTGGGCTAATACTCTGGGGACGTGTTCGAATCCCACCACAGCAGATATTGAAATTTGAATTCTATAAAATGCTAGCCTGTTGCAGACCATGTAACCATTGTCAATTGTCATAAAAACCCATCTGGTTCACTAATGCCCTTAAAGGAAGGAAATCTGCCATCTTTCACTAGTCTGGCCTACATGTGACTCCAGACCCACAGCAATGTAGTTGACTCTTAGCTGTATTCCAGACGATTAGGAACAGGCAATAAATACTGGCCTAGCCAATTACATCCACATTCCAAGAATGGATGAAAATAAATCAATAGTCACTCCAGGTCAGTGACTGCCCAGTTCAGGGATGAGGGTGAAGTGTTCCTGGTGACAGCTTTTAACCTTTCTTGCAATCCCCTTCAGATATCTGTGGATGTAAGTCTATAAAGTTTGCAGTCGGGCTCCATGCACCAAGATAAGCAGTGATCCTAATAGTGACTCCCGTACAACTCCATTATATAGCCTCCCCCTGACTGAAAAGAACAAGTGTTCACCATGACTCTCTTTTCTGTCACTTCACCATTTCTATATTCATGTTATTGCAGTGCCTTTTATTCCATGGGCTTCACCTTTGCTGGTGAACCAATTAAATCTCTTTTGCAAGTTTATGTATACAACATCAACTGCAATATTTGCAACAATACTTTTCATTACTTCATCCTAAAACTCAATTGAATTTGTTAAATATGATCTGCCCTAAATAAATCCATCTTGCTTTTCCACAATTAATCTAATTGGGATAAAAATAGATCAGTGGTTGCTTTTGATTGGAGTAAACTTAATGGGCCAAAGCACCTTTTCCTGTGCTGTAGACCTCTATGACTTGTGCATGTGATCATTAATTTGATCCAGGTCATTGTGTGTAACTGTTTTCTCACTCCCAGGATTAAAGTGACTGGCCTGCAGTTTCTGGTTTTATCTTTACTCTATTTTTTAAACAAAGGCATAACAGTTGCAATTCGCAAGCCCTTGGCCAACACTCCTGTATCTTAGGCGGATTGGAAGACAATTTCGACCCTTGCTTCCCAAGCATCCTCGGGCTCATTCCATTGAGTCCTGCTGACTTAGCAACTTTACGTACAATCAGCAGTTTTCATGTCTTAGCCTATCCAGTATCTCAGCAACATTTTCATTCATTATGGTTCCAATGGCATCATCTTCTTTGGTAAAGGTAATTGCTGCAGACTCATTTATTACTCCATCCATATCCACAGCGCCCATATGTAAATCCCCTTTTTCATCACTCTGGAATGGCCACGTTACTACTTATGGATATTTTTAATCAACCAGTTCAGACATGTTTCTGTAAAGTGGGACTTATATCCAGACCTTCTATATGATTGTTGAAGATCTTTATGTTAACTGTCATTCTCTACTCTGTCCTTCAGCTTGTCTTTGGAGATGTGGTAGCCTCGTGGTCTTGTCAGTAGAATAGTAATCCAGAGACTCAGGTAACGTTCTGGAGACCCAGGTTCAAATCCTGTACAGGGCAGCTGGTGAAACTGGAATTCAATAAAAGCCTGGAATTGAGTCTAATATTTAAACTGTTGTTGATTGTCAGGAACACCCAATCTGGCTCATTAACGTCCTTTAAGGGAAGAAACCTGCTGTCCTTACCTGGTCTGACCTGCTCCAGATTGTCAGGTATGTGGCTGACTCTTAACTGCCCTCTGAGTGTTTACGTAAGAGCAACAAATGCTCACCGAGCCTGTTAGTGACTTAAGAAAAACCTCATTTTTTCTTCACTTCTGTCTGAACTTTCCATATTTATCCTGGCACTCACTTGTATTATCCTGCTGATATCTGTCATATATTTGCTGTTTCCGCTTCATCGTTCTAAACATATAGGCTTAGGCGCTTTCAAAGGAAAACTACACAAGTACAAGAGAGGAATAAAAATAAAAATGAATACTGAAAAGCTGCAATGATCTGAAAGAACGAGGTAAGATTCCTTTTCGTCAAAGACAGCAGCACAAACTATTTGAGCTGAATGTAAATTCCTTTCTAGGTCACACACCATCCTAACAAGGACAATATCATCCTTACCTCACTGTCACTTAATCAAAATCCAGGAAATTCCACCCTAACCCTAACCCTAACCCTAACCCTAACCCTAACCCTAACCCTAACCCTATTACCAACAGCACATGGACTGAAGTGGTTTATAAAGGAAGTGGATAACCACCTTCACAAGGGCAATTAGAGATGGGCAATAAATGCTCCTCTTGCTAACAACACCCACATTTCACCAATTATTGAAAAGGTGATCTATTTCTGAGCTGTACGTAATGCTAGATGGAAGCAGAATTTAAGAGGTCAGTAGACCATTGTGATAGTGGAAAGACAAAATTCTGAAGATGGACTAGACTGCTTTGGTAATGAGAAAGTTGACATCTGAAGGTGAGGCAGAATCTCTGATAATGAAGATCCTGATACTGGAGATCACAATAAATCAACTTATTGAGGGAGCTGATGGTCTCTGAAGATGGACCAAGCCGCTCTGGTCCAGCAGTGGGACGAGCTGTCCTGATATTTATGTGCCACATATAGTCTTTCTATAAATAGCTGTGTCTGTACTTGTAACATAACAGAATATGTATTACATTTAATGAATTAATTGATTTGCCACAATAATGATGAAATTGTTTATTTAAATAAAGAATTAATTAGTTGTATCTGCAATGTTAATAATTTCAAAG